CGAGTAGGTGTATAATTCTAATATTGAATAAATTACTTAGTAAAACATTTTTCCCTCTATGATAAAACGAAGAAACGCAACATGAGCTGCCGGTACAATGTACAACGGTCATCTTGAGTACATTATCAACACACCTTTTTCACGACAATGAAATTGTCGGAGAGTGTTTCCAAGGATAATATATTGTTTTTACACCTCTGTACTAATGGTATTACGTTACGCAATTAGCTTTTTATTTTATTCGAATATTTATTTTTATATTAGAAACATGTGAGGGAATTTATTGTTATTTAAACACGGGATAATTCCGTAAGATACAATAAATATTTTATCAGACGTACTACTTAACTTGGCTTCCAGATTTTGTAGAAATGTGTATCATTATAATTTTAGAAACAAATTTCCGAGTTCCTAAGGCAACTGTCTAAAACTAAATTATGTATTGATTTGAACAGCTGTTCTTCGATTGTATTGAGTTTTTTCAAATGAGCTTAACGCAGGAGAAGCTCTTAGCTAGACAACACTTGCTTGAGCGCCTTTTTATTTTTATGTAGTAATCAATCATCAATGTATACAATAAATGTATTTTGGGCGAGATATTCGTTTAAAATCTTATATTAAGATGCAATATCTACTTATATTGAACAACTCAGTTACTCATATTCACATCTCAGTTCATTATGCTTCATATTATACTTTTCTTAAAATATCATGATTTTTCTACAATTTTTCACAGTTTCATCATTTTTTGAAGAATATTGTCATTAACTATTCAACGAGAGGTTGTTTTATTATATTATCATTATTTGTTTCTTCAAAATAATATAAATTTTGAAAAAGGTGAATTGTTTTATAGTGTATTTTTATGTATGAGAAAGTAATAAAACAATAAATTATGTATGCAAATCCCTAAACTGTTGATACTTTTTTTTTGTGTGTGTGTGTTTTGGCTTGGACAATTGTCATTCAGCCCGTCTCAATCAAGATAAGTTTATTAATGTAGTGTGTGTCTGTGTTTGTGTGTGTAGAGTAATTGTCTTGATACTTAGCAAAGTCGACGTCATTGTCTTTGCTAAGAGACGCTAATTGTATCCGAACGTCTGCGGTCCCTCCGGTGTGTACCGATCACACAAGGATAAAATTATTTTCATTTGTTAATTTTTTTAATAAACGAAAATTTTCACCCAGGTGGGATTCGAACTCACGACCTTTAGGTTTAAAGGCAGGCGCTCTTACCACTGAGCCACAGAGGGGGTTTAAACTGTTGATACGGGTGACTCAATGAAAAACAGATATTTGTCAACAAGTTTACAGAAGTATATAGGAAAACAATTTTAAATTGAGTATGACCACCAGGTATAAAGGTTGGAGCAGAATAGAATACAATAGTTGTGAGGGTTACTAATCCCTAAATAAGGTTGCCAGTATCGGAGTGATGGAGGTTAACAGGTACTAATGAATTTGCAAGAAATGTAAGATGTTTATTTTATTGGTTATATATAACCAATAAAAGTTTAATAAGTACCTACCTATTTGCAAAATAAAGTTTAATTCTTTAGATAAAATAAAACGTTTTATTTTATCTGAAATGAGTGCATTCCACGAAGTAAGGGTTTCAACAATCAAACATTTAATTCTTTAATTCCAGGAATCTACGACAGTAATTGACTAGATAATTACCTTCTAAACTTATTCCACAGAAAATGTGATAGTGGGTTTTTCCATTTTGTAGGAAGGTCCAAGTGGCGTATTCAAAATTCTTAACAGTTCACTAAAAGTAGGTACTTCAGTTGCAAGGTGCAGTTTATTGTGTATACTAGTGTTATGGAAAATTTGGAAGTGCCGTGTAAACGCAGAAAAATTGGTCCTTTTACAATTAATGAAAAAACATTAATATTTAATTGTTTTAAATCATTTACAGACAAACGTTTATGTGAAAGTGTTGATGAGACCGTTGAGTTAGTTAGCAGTACACTTGGTGTTGGGAAATCTACGATTTACAGAGTTATTAAAGAAGAGAAATGTGGTAGTTTTCAAATGCCACGTAATGCTCCAGGGAAACCAAAATTTCAAATAGAATATCATTTTAAAGAAGGACTTCGACGGAAAGTGCATGAATTCTTCTTTAGACAAGAATTTCCAACATTGGATAAAGTTCTTGTCTCAGTTCGAGATGATAAAGATTACCCAGAAATGAGTCGAAGTACGTTATGGAAACTTTTAAAAGAAATATGCTTCCGCTGGAAAAAGAATCATAGAAAGTCTATTTTATTAGAAAGAAGCGATATTGTCATATGGAGAAGACATTTTCTAAGAACCATAAAGGAAATGAGAAACCAAAAAAGAAAAATATTTTATCTTGATGAAACATGGATCAACGAGGGTCATACACCAAATAAATTTTGGCAGGATGAAACTGTTACAAGTCAAAGGCACGCTTTTGTAAATAACTTATCTACTGGTTTAAACCCACCATCAGGAAAGGGACGCAGGCTGATAATAGTACACATTGGCAGTTCAGACGGTTTTGTTGAAGGTGGTTTATTAACTTTTGAATCAACTCGTACCGGTGACTACCATGAAGACATGAACGCTGATGTCTTTCAAGAATGGTTCGAACAAATGATAGATCTTCTTCCTAAGAACTGTGTAATAGTAATGGATAATGCAAGTTATCACTCCAGACTTATAGAAGGACTGCCCACAACCAAGAGGTTAAAAAAAGACTTGCAGAATTGGCTAAGTTAAAAAAATATTACGTACCATCCCGGATCTATAAGAAAGGAACTTTATTCGTTGTGTGCCCTTCATAAAGAAAAATTTAAAAAATACGAAATTGATGAAATTGCCAAAAATCGTGGAATGACAGTACTTAGATCCCCACCATATCATTGTGAATTAAACCCGATTGAACTGGTATGGGCACAGATAGAGAGTGAAGTTTCAAGAAAAAATACCACTTTTAAAATTCATGATGCTAAACAGTTGTTTTTGGAGGCCGTAAATAATGTAAAACCTGAAAACTGGGAAAAGGCAGTAAATCACACTATTAAAGAAGAGGAAAAAATGTGGAAGCTGGACAATATTACTGATAAAATGATCGAGCCAGTTATTATAAATCTTGGTTCTGAAAGTTCATCTTCTGAATCTGATTTATATTTGTAACAAGTAGCTGTAAGTTTTATATTAATATTTTTATTCATCTATTTAACATACCTTAGACGGTTTTAAAAACTCTTTTTCTCTTTTGTAATTTTTAAAAATAAAAAAAAAAATGTGAATTTTTTAAAACCCTTTTTAATGTAGGCCAGTCAGTTCTAATATAGTGTGTGATAAAAGAGGTCACTTTTATTTACATACACATAACACTTTATAACACTGAAATAATTCATTTATTTTTTACAATTATTCAAAGTAATTTTTCAATTAATTTTGAGCACGCCCATGGAGTGGTCGAAGGTACCAGTTAAAATTATGCTAATTACTCCCTCGTTCATAAAAATAAACTATAGTATTTTGGCATTCACGGAAAAATAACTTAAAACCAAGCATGTTAAGTATATTGAATTTATATCATAATGACTATTTCAGTAGACTATTTTAAACTGATAAACGTCACCACAACGCCACGTTTCATACTGACAAAACTCGTTTCTGCGTGATTTCTGAGCGACCGAATTATGACGGATCCGTCACGAAGGTGTCTGGTAATTCTATTGTTGTCAGTTTGACAAATGTCATTGAGGCGTAATCAATTTTGGACAGATATAATGAATCCAGACAAAAAAATCAAGATTGGGATACCAGTCAGGTGAAGAAATAAAAAAATTGGTTTCGCAAAATGTCCCATCGAACACGCAGAGGTCCAGAAGCTCTATTTGGACCTAGTTTTCGGAGATCCTACGGATGAGAAATTTTACGCTTGAAAGATGTACTACCATAATGGAACTAGCAAGAATTCTCGGGGATTATGCCTTTAACATGAAAAAAGGCAATGGCGAAGACTATAAAGATTTATCTGTAAAGTCAATGGGGAATACTACAGCAAAAATGGTACAAAAAAGATATTTTATGGAGTACGGCATAAAAATCGGCCCTTTAACAGATATATCTTTCAAATGTGCAGTATTGGTCAGAAATACCAAGTGAAGGCATCTTCAAAGTGTTCAAGAAAAAAAACTCAGTTCAAAAGCATTGTTTGGAAAAGTGTCAAGACTGATTTAAATATTTTATTTTTATTATTCAGAATATGACCTTATTTAGTTTTAAATCCCTTATTTAATCATAATATATTAGCTAACTATAATATGGTTTTAGTTCCACATCTTTTAAATTCTCGAACTCAAATTGGCTGATTAATTATTGTCAAGTTCTGAGAATTCACTTGTCTGAAAAACAACAATTTTTTGGTAAACATTTATCAACCCAAACACTTCAGAGTCCTTAAGGAAACGTACCCGTCCTTTGTGTAGAAAGTTTAAAATGTAATTTTTAGCTTAATTAGAATTTTTACAATTCTAATACTAAATGTGTAGCGATTAACAATTTTCTCCATGTAAAAGTAATTTTTTAGCATTAATATATTATTTAAGTTTCTATTTTTGGTTAATGTAATACAGGCTGAAAAGCATACAAAATCATAATTAAATGTTAATTTTTCTTAAAACTTATGTCTTATTTCACCGATATTGATATTAGCACGAAAATAAACAAAATCGTCTTTATCTCGAAACTTATTTATTCTGACTTACTGCAATCTTGCGTGGTGTGGTGGACAAAGGTGCAGCAAAAAAGTACCATTCTTAAATGGCAAGAGGACGGACTTATCTAAAAATAAATGTTCTTGACCGACTAGATAAACAGAAAGAGATGTTCCATTAATAAAGAATATTGATCTCAGCTGTATAGTGTATAAATCAGGGATTTGACTTTTTTTTCTGTTTCAGGATTTCGTCAAGCGGTAATAGGTGTGGACCAAGGGCTGGCCGATCGCGTTCGGAATGGAATCGAACAGCAGCAATCGAGGTTCGACGGGGGCCTTGTCGAGTACTACCGGGGGCAGCACTTCAGCCGGCATGCACCACTCTCTCTCGACGCCAGCAGGCGTAGATTGCGGCGGCAGCCGGACGCCGCCAGCGACGCCCAAAAAGGGTGGCAAGATGCTGGCTATCAGAGTGCAGATGCTGGACGATACCGTGACCATTTTTCAAGTGCAAGTAAGTCTTTAAGCCTTAAATACCAGTGTTCATTTCACAAAGTACGATATTTTAAAAAGTCACTTCATTTTTTGTCAATTTTGTCTGATGCTTCAGGGCAAAGGTCATCAAAAACATTAATTTGGTGAATTAAATTTTTATAAACTACAAAATGTTTCTGAAATCGTATGTTTAGTATGTCATTACACCTTATTTAATCCCCGTCTATTAAATTTTTATCGCGCGCTGAAAATGTTAATGTTTTCTTTATTGGCTGGCGGTAGATGCAGGAAACATTTATTAAAACATCACTGTACCCTTCGTCGATTTGCATATAAGACGATATTCAATTGCTAGAAAGAAAATAATCAAAGAGTTCATTGCTCACTATGTCTATGTCAACAACATGGATATATTCGTACGACAGGGTCGGAGTCTCAATATCAATTCAAAAATAATTTGATCTTACATTTACTTATCATTTTCCATTTATTTTAAAGGAATACACAAAATGTCGGTGTTGAATAAAGCTCTTACAATTTTTAAATTTAAATAAAACAAATTACATGCGAGACATAAATTTTTTATTCGTTTGAAAAGCTTCCCGATGCTATTATGTATTTTGTTTTCCATGAATCTGAAACATAAATCAACCTGAATTTGAAGGATACCATGGTAGGCAAACTAAGGTAGTTTGCTTGTTCATAACGTTGAAAATGTTCTTTATAGTAGTTAAGCTGATCGAGTTGTGTTCAGTCTAAACCAAAATGTTTTGGAAAATGAAGGAAAACGATGAAATATGATGTTTGACCATTTACAGATTTTTAAATGTTGCGTTCTTTTCAGTCTTTTCAGTTCTTTTCCTTAACAGTGCGAATATTATCTGGCCCAACTGCTTTACGACAATACATTGGGGATTATCAGCTGTATCATAAAAACTCTGCTCTCGATCATTTTCAAACGGAGTATAAATAAATGTAAATAATTTACTTAATAATCTACTGGTTTGAATCTGCTAACTTCTGTATATTGTTCAAACAAGAGTATTGTTAGTTTTTACCAATTAGTAAACGTCATAAAATAAACTCTGTTTTTGAATATTAGCCATTTCATTTGTGACCGCATTTCTATTTTTAATTCATTGTTCACTTTTTACATCATTCCGATATAAATGACGAAATAATCTCGACTTTCATTTGAATTTTTATTTAGATAATTGATTTTTATTGTAATTGTAAATACAAAATTATTCATTATTCGAATATTTTTATAGACGATATTTCCTTTTTATGAAGTGGTTTTTCTAGTAAATTGAATGAATAGCTGCAAATATTTCTAATTTGTTTACTTCAACGTGCTCTAGTGAAATAGACCATTTTAGAAGTATGTATTAAAGTGCTTAAATTAATTCAGTTGATATATTGATATTGAATAAAAGTGTTTTGAGTTGATTCAGTTCGTTCCTTTTGATGACTCGATTCCACAGTGTTAACTCTCAGGTTCATTTCTAGCGTGGGTCATTCGATATTAATCTGCTTCACAATGTCTTACCTAAGCGTCCTCCTTTAAGTATTCCTTCGTCTTTCTTTCATATATCTTCCATGAATTTACAACTCATTCCAGGAATTATAAAGTGATTATTATTTCGGTTTTTTTGGCATTCTTACAACATTCTGTTGTTGTTTTTTGTTGTACGCTTGTCTTTAATCACTGTGATGACGATAAGGCACTGCATATAAAAGAATTTTTTTCGATAGCACTTTTGTGATCCGAACGGACACCTGTTATACCATTAATTAATCGGTAGTTTTGTCATTCATAAAAAATGAGTCAGTACCGGACAATCGAATCATTTGGTCCACCTCTAATGCGATCAACAGAGTACGTGAATTCAGTACTTTTTAATTTCTATTTTTTATTTACTAACAGAAAAAGCATTTTACAAAATACTACGGAAAATTCGATGGTGCAACAAACCATAGTCTCTACCGTGACGCCTTAAGGAGGTATATGAGGGATGAACTAGTCATGTGCATCCAACAGATGTCAAGTGGTCTAATGTGTTTATGTAATCCACGAAGTGTTTGTTATCTGATACACAAATTTAAATAAAATATTTACGCTGTTATAGTTCAGTTAGTTTTTGACACGCATATTTGAAAAGCGTTCATTTAAAAGCAGACAGATCCCTCTAACACAATTTCGGTAAAAACGGATTATTAGTTGAATATTTATAATACTGACACGACTATACACAATTCATCATCCCATCCAACACAACATAAACTGGCAGCTTATCATAGTATGTTACATAGATTAACAGAAATTCCGATGTCAAAATACAACTTTGAGACAGAATTAAATATAATTAAGCAAATAGCAGTAAACAACGGATACAACGAACAAACAATTAATAAAATGTTAAATCAAAAACTACACAAGAAAGCCCTGAAATTAGTATTTCCACCACCAGAGAAAAAACCCAGTACCTTCTGCTCGATTACATATACAGGCAAAATAACAACAAAAATTGCCAAACACATAAAAAAGAAAGGAATAACACCAGCTTTCCGAACAAATAACAACCTAGGCAAATATATTAAAAATAACAAGAGCCAAAATAAAAAACACTTAAATAGTGGTGTGTACAAACTTCAATGTGGCGACTGCCCAAAAACTTATATCGGTCAAACTGGTAGAAACTTTGATAAACGAATAGCAGAACATAAAAAGGCTTTCAATAAAGGAAAAACAGATTCGACATACGCACTTCACCTTCTAGATCATAATCATTCTTTTAATGACAAATTTAAAATTCTCCACATTCAAAATAAAGGCCTTAAGCTATCTTTGTTAGAATCTATGGAAATCAACAAATTAAAAAACACAGATATAATTCTGAATGACCAATTTGAGACAAACAGTTCTCCCCTCCTCAACCTATTTCATTAGAGACTATAAATTTGTAAACCCAAGCCAAAAATAGATCACTTGAGAAAGGCAATCAGCCGAAACAGCTGTAGTGATAAGATTTAAAATAAATTTTATGGAAGTTTGAAAACAAAGTTTTCAGTGTTTTATTGTTACATAAAATGAATTTCCATCAAGTAACGGTCGAATCCATCAATTAAATCAGAAAATATTTACTTTTTTTTTTAATTTCTTCACAAAAAATCATTGGGTATCTGATACCCATATGTGCGGTATATCTTAAAAAATAATATCTTTTACCAAATAATTTTTACCAAAAAAATTATTTTTTATTTGAAAGTTAAGTCTAATAGGTGTTAGTTTTTCTTATGCACATATTTCCACTTTTCTAATTTTATATTTACCAAGTCTATAGTTTATTTTTATGAACGAGAGAGTAATTAGCATAATTTTAACTGGTACCTCCGACCACTCCATGGGCGTGCTCAAGATTAATTGAAAATTTACTTTGAATAATTGTAAAAAATAAATGAATTATTTCAGTGTTATAAAGTGTTATGTGTATGTAAACAAAAGTGACCTCTTTTATTACACACTATATTAGAACTGACTGGCCTACATTAAAAAGGGTTTTAAAAAATTCACATTTTTTTAATTTTTAAAAATTACAAAAGAGAAAAAGAGTTTTTAAAACCGTCTAAGGTATGTTAAATAGATGAATAAAAATATTAATATAAAACTTACAGCTACTTGTTACAAATCCAAATCAGATTCAGAAGATGAACTTTCAGAATCAAGATTTATAATAACTGGCTCGATCATTTTATCAGTAATATTGTCCAGCTTCCACATTTTTTCCTCTTCTTTAATAGTGTGATTTACTGCCTTTTCCCAGTTTTCAGGTTTTACATTATTTACGGCCTCCAAAAACAACTGTTTAACATCATGAATTTTAAAAGTGGTATTTTTTCTTGAAACTTCACTCTTTATCTGTGCCCATACCAGTTCAATCGGATTTAATTCACAATGATGTGGTGGGGATCTAAATACTGTCATTCCACGATTTTTGGCAATTTCATCAATTTCGTATTTTTAAAATTTTTCTTTATGAAGGGCACACAACGAATAAAGTTCCTTTCTTATAGATCCGGGATGGTACGTAATATTTTTTGAACTCAGCCAATTCTGCAAGTCTTTTTTTAACCACTTGGTTGTGGGCAGTCCTTCTATAAGTCTGGAGTGATAACTTGCATTATCCATTACTATTACACAGTTCTTAGGAAGAAGATCTATCATTTGTTCGAACCATTCTTGAAAGACATCAGCGTTCATGTCTTCATGGTAGTCACCGGTACGAGTTGATTCAAAAGTTAATAAACCACCTTCAACAAAACCGTCTGAACTGCCAATGTGTACTATTATCAGCCTGCGTCCCTTTCCTGATGGTGGGTTTAAACCAGTAGATAAGTTATTTACAAAAGCGTGCCTTTGACCCTCGTTGATCCATGTTTCATCAAGATAAAATATTTTTCTTTTTTGGTTTCTCATTTCCTTTATGGTTCTTAGAAAATGTCTTCTCCATATGACAATATCGCTTCTTTCTAATAAAATAGACTCTCTGGGATTCTTTTTCCAGCGGAAGCCTATTTCTTTTAAAAGTTTCCATAACGTACTTCGACTCATTTCTGGGTAATCCTTATCATCTCGAACTGAGACAAGAACTTTATCCAATGTTGGAAATTCTTGTGTAAAGAAGAATTCATGCACTTTCCGTCGAAGTCCTTCTTTAAAATGATATTCTATTTGAAATTTTGGTTTCCCTGGAGCATTACGTGGCATTTGAAAACTACCACATTTCTCTTCTTTAATAACTCTGTAAATCGTAGATTTCCCAACACCAAGTATACTGCTAACTAACTCAACGGTCTCATCAACACTTTCACATAAACGTTTGTCTGTAAATGATTTAAAACAATTAAATATTAATGTTTTTTCATTAACTGTTAAAGGGCCAATTTTTCGGCGTTTACACGGCACTTCCAAATTTTCCATAACACTAGTATACACAATAAACTGCACCTTGCAACTGA